CTTAAGGATAATGTCATTTAAGGGTTTTGTTAGTTAAAGGGATATTATAAAAGTCTAATAATAAAATTTCCATATGTACAATTTGAGTTTGAATTTTTGCGTCTGACATTATGGTGACATGAAAATGTACATCAGAGTTGAGATGGCCCAGTCTGACTCTGTATTTTCAGTGTAAATGAAACGCTTTCATTACATTCAGTGGGCTGTGCATGAGAATCAATAAGCAGCATGGTGCTGATATGTTGTTTCTTGTGATTATGATTTATGAGCAGGGTCATTCTTGCTATTCGGTGCCTTTTGTGTCCCCAATAAAGACCTTACTGCCTTAACATTTTGTATAATATACATTTTTAATAATTTAGTGCCAGATATGTTTTTAAATGGACAAAAGGGATCTGGATTTTTTTAAGATATACACAATGTCCATACATTAAAAACATATGTCTTTAAAACTGTTGTTCACTTGTTCCTATAACAGGGCATGAATGCTTCAATTTATTAGTAACACTTTATTTTGATAGTCCAATTTAGCTGGGTACGTAATCAGATTCCCAAAAAATATGTATTTGTAATTAAATTAAATTACATTTTAAAATACTCATAATCAGACTACAATGACTTTTTTATTGATTACATGACTACATATTATTTTTAAATGATTTATTTTAATTTTGCATTTTTATGATGTAATAAATGATTAGCTTTTCATTAAATTCACAAACTCCCTGCTGTTCCTTCACAAACCCAAGTTTGGTAAACTTTGACGTAATGTAATATTTAATGCACTTGATTTTGTTAATAACAACGGATGGAATATTTTCTTTTTCTTGTATTTTTACATCAATATGGTATAAGATTATCTTATTTAAATCAGTGTGATAAACGAGTTACCTAAAATGTGTAATGTAATGGATCATGTTAGTAACTACAATTTTTGTAACAGACTACAGTTCTCAAGTATTCTACCCAGCTCTGACTATAAGCGACTTAAGTACATGTCCATTTATTCTACTAACCTGAACCCTAACCTGATAGTCTACTAATACACTCATGAGAGTTAGTTGACCTATTTGCAAAGTCATTTATAGTTAGAAGAATGTCTAGTGTGGTCCATCAAAATAAAGTGTAACCAAATCATTTGCAAATGTTTCAAATGTTTTACATCTCCTTATGATTACACAAAAAGTTATTTTAAAGAACGGTTTGATTTTCTCATTTTATGATGTCCAATAGCACAGAATACCAGAAATTACCCAGTAAATACACATTTTTCCCCTCAAAATGCTTGCTTATTTCTGAATGTAAATCTAATCGCGGAAATGTTGCAGTTGTTTTTATTAAAATAATAAAGTAAAACCATTTCAAACGATAAAACCTTGAACCATACGTGTCAGTATAAAGTCCACTTTGACATCAGGCAGCAGATCATAAAGAAAAAAAAATACTGTATAGTGGACAAGATTATTGTAACATAAAAATGATTGGAAATTTGACTTTGACTATTGTGGTTTTGTATGATTTGTTTTACCCATTACGACTGTATATATTAGTGTCAGTACAACTTTTGTTTTAATTCTTAACCCCAAAAATGTATTTGTGCTTATATCTGACCGTGTTATTTATTTCTACAGTCAAAGGGCAAAATAGTGCTGTCATATACATTATATACATACTACATATTTATCCTCAGCTCAGTGCATTCAAACGGTGTTCCACTTATGCTTAAGATTTACAAATGAAATATAATACATATTTGACTAAACTTACCTTGCCTTGCCTCACTCAGCAATGTGCTTATGAAAAGTATAACTACATTCAACACATACGAGCAATGCCTTATTTTTTGTTATGGAAAAGTACATTCATATGGTTATGCATGTTTTTGACCTATTATAGATGACAGTAAAAGCAGCAAGATTATAGATATCAGACTAGCATGAGGGTAAACTTGGAATGCTAGCAGACATTCCATTGCAAGAGAATACGTTGTTTTGGGATTTCCACTGGGACATCCGTAAATATTTCCTCTAAACTGTTTGGGGAAGACAAGACTGTCTGTCTATCCATCCGCATGGAACGGAGAGTACTTGAAAAGTCTAGGCTTCTCAGTGCTAAAATTAGTATACTTTAGCATCAAAAAAGTGTTTAAAATGGTCATGCATAGTGACTGTTTCGATTAATGTGGTAGCTCTATGATTAGAACCACAATTAGTGAATTCAAATTTGAAATAAAAAGGAACTGAAAATTCTGAATTGATGTATCTACCTGAAGTGAAGTGTGTCAAGCGACATGTTTGAATATGCAGACAGGTATCTGCATATAGCGCATGAGCCGGATTGACTATCTATGATGCTTTTTTGTTCCTTTTTCGGAATTCAACCATGTGAACTTCTGAACATGCTCCATGAAACAAAGCAAGTCATACGGGTTCGAAACGGCATGAGGGTGAGTAAATTATGACTTTTTTTCAGTTTCTGTGCTGGGTTTAAAGAGCCAAAACCCTTTACAAATAGCCAACATCAGTAAAATCGAAATCAGTTTAAAAATGTTACCATGGGATGTACTGGAGTGTTTCTAGGCAACAGGTGACAGGCAGTAACAGGAAGTCGGAAAGACAGGACAGCGTGACACTGGAGTTTGGTGAGAGAGTGGAAGACATCTGTAGTTTCTTCTGTTTCCCTCAAAGTTGAAAGAACACAGTGCAGAAGCACAGGAGAGCAGATGACATGCTTTATCCCCCTCCAGATCTGAAGAATAGACATAGAAATGAGGGAAAATAAAGGAGGAGAATCAATAGGTTAAATGATACAACTCACTGTGCATTGTTTGTATTCTTTATTTGCCTGTAAAATGAAGGCCATATGAGTAACTTCTAATCAAGAAGTAACTGAAGCAATTGTGTGATTGAAATGGCAAGGGTCATTGATTTTACTAATTCATTTCTATTTTGCCATTAGAAAAAAATGAATAGACTTGTGTTGTAATTTAAAGAATTTTTGTAAAGAGAGCCAAAAATGTAACCATTGCTCATCATTGAGGGATTAAGAGTTTGCTTACATTCTTTTCTTTTTCTTTTTCTTTTTTTTTTTAAATAGCCTTTATTAATTTTTAATCCTTTATAAATTTTTATATTTTCAACTTTTTTTTTTTTTTTACCTTTATTTAGTGTAATGACAGGAAGGATGGAGGGTTGGGAAAGGTCCACAAGCTGGGATTCGAACTCGGGACGCCCGTATCGCAACAGCACTGACCAGCTTTTAGACATTTGATATTATAATTTCACCAGTTTTATTTTAGTAGTTTTGTAAAAGGATTTTTATAATACTTCTAACAGGATAGAAAGTGAAACTGAGGACACTGGAAAAAAACTTTCAAATTATTACAAATTAAAACAAGGTTTTTATTAAAGAAAGAAAAAATTAAATAAAAGGTGTAATTTTTCTTAATACATTTGTAAGTTATGTTATTTCAGCACCTTTGCTTTCTTTCTTTCTTTTTAATTGTTAGTTCAATATGATCTGGGGAAAAAGTACACTGCATAAAAGGAATGACTTGCCACATTAATGAAATTTTTTACATTTTTTCATATAATTACATGTATTGTGTAAATGTATTATTCTAAGAGTTTTTTAGCAACCAAAAATCAAGCATGAAGAGCAGTTGTCAAATTGAAAGACCGAGGGCTTGGTATTTTATAAAACTGATGGTAAAATGACTAAAAAAAGAATTGAGTATATTGCATAGCACAGTTTACATGTTGATGTAGACACAGATAGCAATGTTCTGCACTTATAGTTAATATGAGCAAAACATGCAGTGAAAAAAAAGTTTTTTTGCTATTTCTTCTTTTTGTCTAGCTTTTATTAACATTTAAAAATAAAAATAATAAAACTTATATTTATTAACACCCACCCCCCCACCCAAAAAAAAAAATGTGTATCACAATTATTGATACCTCAAGAAATTCTAAAAATTAATAAAACATCTAATTCACGTATGTTCATTCATGTTTTCATTTTGTAGAAATATATGTTTTAGTTGCAAGTCATGACTTGCACTTAAACCAAATATAAAGCCATACACAGGCAACATTTTATCATCCATCACTATGGGGGGAAGACTTGAGAATGCAGTGATGATTTGTGACAAAAGTTTGGTAAGCAGCACAAATCAGAGAATGGCTAAAGAGAAAATAGTTCAATGGTTGAAATGCCCATGTCTATGGACAATGATCCAAAGCACACATGGTTCACTGCTCACATAAGGAAGAGATTTTGAAGAGATTTTGTATAGAGGAATGGTCTCAGATCTCTCGCTTTATGTTCATCAACCTTACTACACATGCTAGGATAAGATTATCATGGCAAAGGGTGGCTGCAAAATGAAAGAATGCCCTCTTTTAATTGTGGAATATAAATATTTCTGTATACATGTTTCATCATAAGATCAAAAGACAGGTTTTTCCCCTTTTAATTATTTTACTCAAAATAAAGGTTAGATTTCTGTGAATATTTTGAAAGATCAAAAGGATAATTTGAGACATTATTTGCCTTGGTGGCTGACTAAATACTTTTTTCCCCCACTGTATACCAAGGTGTATTTGTGGAGGAGGCTGTATTTGCTTCAAAAATGTGCAATCTGAATCTTAAAATGACAAGATATTTGATATGAAATCATACTCAATTAGTGAATATTAATCGCGTTTGACAACAATAATGGTATTATTATAAATACCAACTAAACTGGTCTTTTCATACAAAATAATTTTTCTAATATTGTTTTACTAACAACAACAAGTGTCCATACCTCAGTTAAACATGCCAATGTTATTGTACTGGTAATCCAATAAGATGTGCATTATAACTATGTAATGGAGTTTGGAAACAAATGTGATGCATTGATTGGAGCATTGAAATTAATTTGTAATAAAGGAAATGCAAAAATTAAAAAGAAACAAATAAAACAGAATAAAATAAAACTCAGAGAAACTAAATGGGCAGGCGAAGATGTGAAAACAACAGGTGCAATATGGGGTAGGTGGACATGGATGTATGACATCACATCATGTCTTGTTGGGCAGTGTCATACCTTCCTCTTCTGATATTTCTGTAATCAAGGAACAAAACAGAGAGAGAAAAAAATGGGATTAAATTATGCAAAAGTAAATGTCACATTAGAAATTGTGCTGCATTTTCCATAAAAGTAAGATCAAGACATTAACTACTGCAGCCTATAAATAATAGGGCAATGCAATAAAAAATTTTTTTTAAAGATGTTTTATGCATTTCTGTGCATGACCGTGTATTTAATCATTGTTATCAGAGAACTACTTTTTGCACTTGACACTAAACTACGGCCCTGTCCCAAATGGAACACTTCATGTGCACTTACGGACTTACGGTCTTACGGACTTACAATGGCCGCCGCGTGCGTTAAGTCCACGAGACCGTAGGGTGTCCCATTTGTCATTTTAGCCTTCAGAAGGGTGCTCGCGAGTGCCCCCCTTAGCGGCCGTTATGCGGCCTCGATCCGCACTTCTGCTGAGCCCGCAGCAGACTTCTACCCGACAGTCAAAGCGGCTTTACGTCACGAAAGTGCGGACTCAGAGGCAGACTACGAGGGTTTAGGGTGACATTTGGGACAGGGCCTAGCGGGATTATGCAAATATTTCCACATAGTGGGGTAGATATGTGGGGGCGTGTTAGAATGAGCCGTTTTAGGGGGGCGTGGCAGAGTCTTAACTTTGATAAAGAATATCTCTTTGGTTTTGAGACTTTAGTTTTTGCAACTTCAGGGATCTTATCTATGCACAATCAGCTTGTAACACTCCAAAGAGAAAGGAAAACTTGAAATCGCATCATATGACCCCTTTAATAAAAACATTTTAGAAACCCTTATAAAAAAAGGGGAAAATACTCCCAGAACCAAGGCTGCTGAAAAAGCAGGAAGTCATTGTTGTGCTCTTTTGCAACTGAAATAAGAAGTGAAAGAGGAAAATGCTACTCGAACAGCTTTTTTTGCAGTAATTGTGGATGTCTTACTTGAAGCCCCAGCCTGTTCCTCCCAATACTATAGCTGCCAGCAGTATCGCTCCCGCTATTGAGCCAATGATGATGTTTGTACCACTCGGACCTGTGGACAGACAGACAGAGAACTAAAAACATGGATTTGTCATTAGTTTTCTGTTATATTCTTGTTATATATTTTTAATCATGATTTTGTCATGTGCTTTCATTTTAAAGGTTAGTTTTTAGTCTTGTTTCTTTTCTTCCTGTTTCCTGTAATAATTGATTTTAGCTTTGACTCAAACAGTGGGCTCATGCTCTCTGAAGAAGGAGGCAGTGACATCTTGTGGTAACATTTGGTCTGACACTTACAATTATTTGAGCTTCTAACCTATCAGAATCTTAGAAATGACTGATGATTTTGCATATGCTTAGAAGTTAGTGGTTCCTAAACATTTTGAAATCAAGAGACTCCATTATAAATAAAAAATAAATACATAAAAATAACTGAAAGGTTTCCACATGAGCTCACAGCATGGGACACACCAAAAGTAAAATACTCCAAAAACGTGACAAAAAGCCAATTGCGAACCCACTGATAAGCTGCTTGACCGATTTGATTTCCAAACAGAATTCCGTGTTATATCTATGAACCGTAAAGGCTCAGTACTGAAGCTAACTGAAACCTGATTAAACATTAAAAAAATTCCATTCCAAAAACAGGCAAAGAGGCGCTAGTCCAACTAAAGCCGAACACCCGCATGACTGAATGTGTTGGGAACCTTTGTACTTCTCAGGACCGTCTGGAGGCTGGGGGTCTGGAATAGGGTCATATACACTGCAGTCCTTCCCTGTGTAGTCTGCATCGCAGATACACTTCACCTCATTACTGCACGTCTGAGACAGAGAGAGAGGCAGAGAATGTCATAAGCATAAAGATGGAAATAAATACCTTGGCTCATGCACACTACAGTGTAGCAAAACTTTCTGGACAGTCAAAGGTTCAGTGAGAAATACGGATGTAAGACAATTCTATTAATCGGACACATGGTGAACAGAGTCAACACTGTCAATTATATCACTGCTTATTAAATTTGGAAAATCTTAAACTTACATCAGACACTTTGACAACCGGCTATTTTTCACTTAAGACAAACGATTGTATTTTCATTGTTTTTGTTTCTGAGTATTGTTTACTCTTGCTTACAGCAAAACTGACCATTATCTAAATCCCTTCATTTCTTTCTCGCATCAGACTTTTCAATATCCTGCAACATCTGATCATTTTTCATTAATACTTTTTTTTTTTTAATTGCTTACTCTCGCTTTGAACAAAACAGACCAATATTTTAAAAAAGGATGAGAGAATATACCCTACATAAACCCTCGAAGCAGTATGTGACTGTGATTTATCAAAGAAGAACAGCTCACCCCATGATCAGAGCACACGTGAGAAGAGGATGACCCAGGACAGGATGACAGGTTGAAGGTGGTGACCGGCAGACAGCGATGGTCCAGGCACATCATATTAGGACCACACGGCGTGCCATCCTCCACGTACCCGAGATCAGTGCCATCTTCTAACACTGCATGACCCCCACTGAACATAAACGAACAGCTCAGTTTTACACACTAATGCACACTGCAAAGTAGGGATGGTTACTTGGAGCTCCTTCCTTTAAATAGAATAAAACAGAGGGGTCTGGAGATAAACAGTGTTTATTTTCTAACACACTCTCGTGGCAATTTTTAACTATTTCAAATGAATTTGTACAATCTCATCCGTATGTTTTTTTTTTTTTGCTTTTTGCCCACTGATGGTTAGATTTAGAGTTTGTTTCCGTATGAATCACATTGTACAAATTCATAAGAAACCAACTCATAAAGTAATTGCATCCTCTCATGAGATTGGGTTATTTCTTAAACTAAAAGAGCTATTTTTAAGACACTCATGGTGTGAGGTGCTGCAAAAGCAGCAACCAAATGCAGCAGTCAAAGTCCTAATTTCATTTTAACCAGCATTTTGAATTCCAGTAAAATTATCTGGACATGCTTAAAATAATTAACTATACCCAAGAAAAAAATGTATGCATTTACCGACAATCTAGGTACTTGTTCTGATGGTAGATGGTAAGACTTGTGATTTCTCCATTTAAGTCTCCATACCGTGGTTTCGCTGTGATATTAGTGCATAATAAAAATCCGCACAACACATCCCTGTGAAAGAACACGGAAATAACAGTGGAAGACAGACAAAAAGGGAAAAAAATTACCTTTCCAGCAAAGGGAGAAATAATGATATCACTGAAAAGGTTAAAATAGTGTTCTGGTTGTTTATATACTCACTGTTTATTGCACTGAATCCAGCTGTGTGAGCTGCTGTCCTGACCACAGTTGCCACGCTCCGTACCTTCAATGTTCAGCTTCTCATAACACATGCGATCTGCTGCATCTAATGACACACACACAGTCAAATAAACCAAGCATTGTGCATGTGCAGTTTTAGTATTATTAGAATTAAACAAGAGATATGTACATGCACTTAAACTATAGTAGACACTATGGATGCGTTTACACTTGGCATTAATATGTGATCTGATCACCGTGATCCGATCAAGCAAGATCGGATCATCAGTCAATCAGAACACGACGCGTTTATACTTGGCAACATCAACTGACTTTTCTATCTGGATAACCGATCGGATCTGTCTTTCCCACGCAATATTTAAACAAGTCTGCAGAGAATGGCTTGGTGCAAAGTCAACCTGAAGTGGTGGGTTTTCTTTTGAAAAGCATTTTCAGTCGTGGGACATTTTACAAATCAAAGATAAGTGTAGGAGTCTCACTAGCGCTCCACACGATTGTTCTCCGTCTTTTTTTCTGACAGCTCGCGAGAGAGGGGGCGGCGTATTGCGTGATGTCGACCTGCGAATGCAGAAATGATGGCTGGATTGCGTTTACATTACACTGAGATCCGATCACAATGCATCCTCGACTACCTCTGGAGCAGGACACACTGATCGGATGACATTCCGATCAGAAGTACGTTAACACTTGTCTTTTCAATGTGTATGTGGACAA